GGCACCTGGGGAGAAGATGAGTTCCTTGGTACTAAAGGGGCCATTTATTATTCAAGAGGACACCAAAGTTTACCGACAACATATTTTTTCTTTTTAAGGTTATATAGTCGCACACTTAAAAGTTCAAGATACACAAAGGTATCTTCTTCTCACCATTTCCCACAGCCACCTTCCCAAGGATGCCAGTATCTATAGATATTTTAGGCATATAAGCATATAACTATATGCATGTGAGTATAAGAGTATATACACTATGTGTGTAAGTACATACACATGTAAAATCACCTTAGAACAGGCCCTTTTTGCACAAAGGCAAGCACACTGAGCATAGTTTTGCACCCTGTTAGTTTTCATGGCTCCCTTTAGGAGATCAATGCTGATTACTGTACAAAGAGCCCTTTGTCATTTTTCGTGGCTGCATACTATTCCCTGGCAGGGCCCGTTCATTATCCATTACTTGACTGGCCCTACTGATGGGACCTTCAGGATGAGCATCACCTTTCTCACGGGCTCACATACTAGGCAGCATCCCGGCCGTGGCCATCCAGGACTCCCCGGTCACTCATAGGTCTTGTCCCTCGTTTTCTTCCTCACCTTTTCTGGGATCCAGCTCTGACTGGAGGCTCTGTTCATGGCTGGAAGCAACTCAAGGTCCTTCTGCATCTTCAGAAGTGCCCCTCTTGCTGCTTTGGCCTCCCTCACACACAGCGTAGCTCTCTCTCTATCTACGACGGGGGAGTTGCTTGGGCTGGGTCAGCCTCACTGAATGGAGGCTGGGAAAAGTAAACCCTGGTGGGGGGCTTCCCCCCATCTCCTTGTGGACCATAAAGGAGCATTTGGGTTTTGCCAGAGGGCACTGCACACAGAGGAACAGGAAGGACTTGGTGGAGGATGTGTGTCGGCAGCCTGAACCCCCCGTTTATTAGCTGTGCAACCTGGGCCCCCTTCAACCACTGGCGTCTGTCCAGCAGGTGGTAAAGAAGACATGGGAGACCTTTGTGAGCAGAATGCACGCAGCGGAGGGCAGAAGCATTTAGCCACTTGATCCTGAGCTCTGAAGTCAGCTCTGGGCCCAAATCCTAACTCCGCATCTTCCGATGAGGTGACCTTGGGGGGATACCTTTCCTCTCTGAGCCTCAGGTTGGGTATAATTATAACAGTACCTACCTCATGGGCTGGCAGGCTTATTTTAATAACTAAATGAGATTAAATGGCTTATGTCTAGCCACTCGACACAAAGTAGTGCATGGCGGGTGCCCAAGAGATTTCCACTTTTATTGTTATCATTGATGCTATAGGTGTGGTTGTCACAATAGCAGGGGTTGTTCTCCTGATACTTTGTGCCCTTCTGCACAGATGTCCCCACAGTGCAGCACAACTGTTCAAAGCTCAAAGCACTAGTTGGGCTAACAAAACAGCTGGTGGGATTACCACTTCATCACTCTCTGCAGGCGCCCACAGGCCCGCTTCCTCTCCCACCATCCCCACTGGTGTCCTTGCACACTGGAACACACACGATGACTCTTTGCTGGGAGAGTCCTGCCTGGAAGCAGGGGATTGAACCAAATGACCTTTTGACCTCTCTCCCACCCATAGCTCCAGGATTGAGGATCCCTCAGCACGTACATGAGCCAGTGAAATTAGCCACTCCTTCCGGAAACACTAGGTTATTCAACATTCTACAGCTCCCAGGGGGCTTTCTTAGATAAGACTTGCTTCAGGCCCTCTTCCCCCCCAGGGCTTGTGGAAATCTCTGGGTCTGTTTGGCATCAACTCATGTCCCCGCGGTCCCACCAGTGACCTTCCAATGACCTTTGGATACTGGCGAGAGAAAACGTCATTTTTCCCCTAACCCATTGAACTCTGAGAAATGACAAAGTGACAGAGGCCAGCATGGCCTTTCCAGAAAGGCCTCCAGCCCCTGCTGTCACCGTGGCTTAGAGAAGCACCCACGCCCAGCGAAGGCCAAGAGTCGCCGGTGGCCCCTTACGCTGAAAACGAAGTGCGAGCTTCCTGAGAGGGGCTCTCCTGCGAGGCACGGGAGGGTGAGCAGGAAGGCAGGGGCCCAGCCGATAGGACACCTACAGGAAAAGGAGGAAACGGCCAGCGAAGTCTAGACGCGTTATCGTGCCCCCCGTGCGGGCACCAGCCCCACGCTCATCCATCGTCCCTGGAGCCGACTTCCTGCCTCAGGATTCACGCCAATGACTTCACCCTCTTGCTATCTGGGCTGTCCTGCTGCTGCCCGCTCTGGGCTCTCAGGAATTAGGGGCCAGATAACAAGTCTAGACAACTCAGAAGTTTTAAATGGATTATTCTCCAGGGGGAGGAGAATGGCTAGCAACGAGCTCTAGGGATTCGAGTGCCGTAACCCTGGACGGTGTTCAGATTCCAAGTTTGCTCTGGGAGTGGAGGCAGGAGCTCTTCCTGCAGGACCCCACCGCCCTGCGGCCGAAAATAGGCACGGCGACGCTGCAGCTGCTTCCCGCCGGCCAGCTCCTCAGCCCGCCTCCTTCCCACCTGGCTCAGGTAAGACCCCCCGGGGCTGCCTCAGCAGAGCCGGCTGATGACCTAATTGCTGAAAAGGGGACAGTGCCGCCCTGGCCCTCAGTGCGCTCAAAACCAAAAGCAGTCGTACCTACACAACACACCGGAGGCGGTCCAGTGCAGATTGGAACCCCTTCCCCGTGACTGCCCCAGCCCGTCGCGGTGGAGGACCTAGAACAGACTCAGTGGTGCCCAGGGAGAGCACCGCACCAAGATGGAGGCAGACAGCACCTCGTGCGCCTACAGGCCAAGGGCGGCCACAGACTGCCGGCAAGCAGCAGGAGCTGGGGGGCAAGGGCTCTCCTCACAGCCCCAGAGCAAACCAGCCCTGCCGACCACGGTCTTGGATGTCTGGCCTCCAGGCTCTAACGATACAACGATACACGTCTGCTGTTTAAGACCCCCAGTTTGGGGTACTTTATTCCAGCAGCCCTGGAAGACTGATACACACCCCATCTTCCTGGAGGCCGGGGCCATGAGGATGAATGTCTGAGACCCTCAGACACGAGGCCTCCCCTAAATCATAGCGAGCCCCATTGGTGGTCTTTGGCAGAGTCTCAGACGGCTGGCAGAGAACTCCTAGGGAGTCTTCCATGCCACAGAGCCCCCAGTCACCAGGCCACAGCTAGAAGGCAAGGAGGGGAGCTGTGGGGACCTGGGGGCGTGTTCTGACTCAGAACATGGCTGGAGCATGGCTCGTGCCCTGCCTACACCCCCTGACAGGCATTGCCTCGGATACTGCAGGCGCCTGCCACCTTTTACCTGGGAGTTTCCTCCGCCACAGGCGAGTGCCCAGCCTGTGCACAGACAAGCAGGCCAGAAACGGCAAGGCTCACTGTCCTTGGGAGCAGTCCCCCACCGGTGACAGTGGGCGCTGGTGGGCAATGTCCCAGCATCCCTGCTGCTCAGGGGACAAGCTGGAAGAGGTGAAACAGGCCGTCTGCAGAGCAGTGTGAGCCCAGGGGGACAAGCCCGAGCCCCACCGCCCACAGTGGCCACCGAGCAAGAACACACCCTGGGCTGGTTCCCTCTCTCCCTTGTCCCTGTCCTAACCCCCAAGTGCCTCCTGAAGCTACATCCAAAACGGACCCTCTGCACTCAAGGCTGGCCCTGGTCTGCAGGGGCTCCGGACGGGGACCACGGGAGATGGCAGCTCACAGCACAGGAAGGGGAGGCGCATCTAGGCTGTGCACTGAGGGGGTGGATGACTCTACACTGAGTCCTCCGGGTTTCTCAGAGAGAATCTGTGCTTGAATTAAAACCAACCTGGTGGGTATCATGGCAGGAATTACTGGCTTTCTCCAATACCCGTTCTTTCTCTTAAAGGACAACATTGATTAGAACTCAGTATATGACCATCCTTCCCAGGGACTTACCATCTCAGACTCCGTCCTTACGACAGATGCAAAGCCCCAGGTGGGTGTGACTGTCTAGATTCTGGGTAATGGGACAGGAGTGAGAGAGATGCCCAGCCCCAGACACACGCCTGCGTCCCCCCTTCCCTCCGCCCTGCTGCTGGGAATGCGGACCTGGAGATGGGGGCGCACCCGGACCCTCCTCTTCCTCGTCTCAGACCAAGACAGGGTGAAGCTGGAGACATGGAGAGTCTCCCACTGGTCTCTCTCCATCAGAGCCGATTGGAGCACCTGACCCAGCAGCCCCTTCATCCACTCTGCATAGCCAAAGACAGTCTTCATTCACGTTGATCCGAAAATAATAGTGGGAGAAATCAGTAAGAGTTGGGAAGAACACGGGTGATTCTCAGAACTTGGAAATCTAGGAGGAGAGCTGGGCTCTTTCCAGGAAAGACTAGGATGCGAGAAGCGGGCTGTTCTGATACAGTCTGGAAAGAACGCCTCTCCAGTAGGTGAGGGGTGACCTGACACATGGGTGGGTCACCGGGAGGCCCGTTTGCCTGAACCCACAGGAGCCCTTTTGGAGGAATTTCCGAAAGTGACAATGAGCAGAAACAATGGATGAGTCAGGTCTTTAACTGCCAGAAATTATCTTGATTTTCATAGCTATGTTGAAGTGTTTAAAAAGCCTGTGTTACATAAAGATAAACTGTGTGAGGGCTGGAGGCTGAGTTGCGGCCAGGAGCAGTCAGAGATCGCATTCTGCACGGTCTCCCATGCAGGGGCTCACAGCGTGCTCCTCAGCATGGAACAGGGACGGGCTGTGTCTGAGGCTGGGGACATGTCCGCTGTGGGTCCAGCCGCCAGGCCCCGCCCTGCTTGTTGGCTGCACAGGGGCCAGGTCAGGGGCTGTGTCCCGTGCCAGCTGATCTGTCCCTCCTCCCAGGGACAAAAGCATGGTTGGGGTCAGACCCGGGTCAGAGTTCTCCTAATCCTGCCAGCTGTGTGTGCTCAGGCGAGACATTCACCTCTCTGAGCCGCATCTGGCACACCTCATGACGTCGGCAAACCCCTCCCACGGGCACCTGTGAGGACCAGGAAGTACACGGGCTTTTCCTCGTCTGCTCCTGCCGCTCTGACGACACCGCAGGCAGCTGGTCTGCTCACCGCAGGTGGGGCTCTTGGTCTGGAGGGAGGAAGTCTGAAGCCATGGGCAGAACGGCCAGAGGCCGCCTTCCAGACGCCTCCCGACACCAGCGTCTTGGGCGTTAGGACTTCAGTGTGGATTTCAGGGGCTACAATCATTCAGACTCCAGCAGGTAATGTCCGGAAGGAACCGGCTATCAGCTCCCATCCTTATTCCCTTTCCTCCCTGAGATGTGGAGAGAAACATCTGGGCTGATAAGGGCACAGGCAGATGTACGACCCGGCACGGAAGTGTAAGGAAGCGTGGCGTGAGCATGAGCATGGCGTCACATGAGGCGTGCGGTGAGGTGTGAGTCAGGTGTATGTCAGGTGTGGCGTGAGATGTGTTTCAGGAGTGGCATCAGGTGTGTGTTAGGTGTGGCATGAGGTGTGTGTCACGAGTGGTGTGAGGTGTGTGTCAGGAGTGGCATCTGGTGTGTGTCAGGTGTGATGTGAGGTGTCAGGGTGTCAGGAGCAGAGTGAGGTGTGTGTCAGGTGTGGCGTGAGATGTGTTGCAGGAGTGGTGTGAGGTGTGTATCAGGAGTGGCATCTCGTGTGTGTCAGGTGTGGCGTGAGGTGTCAGGTGTGTCAGGCACATCCGAGACGTGAGGTGGGAATGCAGCTGCACGGGAAGCAGAGGCACGGGGTAGGGAGAAGCCCTAAATGCTGCACTCCTGGGAACAGCTGTGACGCAGGCCGGACTCATCTACCCCAACAGCGAGGACCCGGGTGAGGTGTGCATCCTGCTCGTGGTCGCGAAGGGCAGGGGCCCCGCGGTGGGGCGTGAGCGCCAGCAGCCCGGCTGTGTGGTGAGGACGTGCAGCCTGGAGTGCCACCCACTGCAGCCCAGGACCTGTCGTGCGGCTGAGGGGCACATGTACACGGCTGGCCCAGCAATCCACTGCTACGACTTCCACCCAGATGGGGCCTGTTCCCACCAAAAGACCCTCACAGCCTCACCACTCCCCATAAAGCCTGGGAGCAGCCCCATGCCCTTCAACAACCATCAGACAACGGGCCGGCCTAGCCGCACAGAGCGGGGTGACACACACACCCTGGGAACGCACAGCGCCAGGCCTCACAGCGCCTCTGGCAGATGCCGGTATCTAGAATTCCGCGAAGTCCAAAAGCAGGCACAGGCAGCCTCCTGGGAGCGCCGGCGGCCTTGGGGCGGCCAGAGAGGGGCCCGGGGCCAAGCTCCGATTCTCTGTCTGGGCCCTGGGTGTCCTTGCTTTGCGAATCCCTGAGCCTGAACCTGTAAGGTTTTGGTCTGTACTTAAGTGCAGTAAAAGTTTCCCTTTGGAACAGTTGAGAGGCACTGACGGCCGGAATGCTCTGTCATCAAGTGCCACATGCTGGTGATTTTTCATGTTCTAAAGAACTGGGCACAAGATACTCGTCACAGGACACGCACATATTCAGGCCGTTTACGGAGCTATTTGCAGGGCTGTCCCCCCAGACGGGCTTTCTGGCCCCACACCTGCCATGTCCTGCACACTGGTGCAAACCTGCTGGGGGCGAGGGCGGGCGAGCAGGGGGAGCGCCAGGTGGGCCTGCTTGGGGTGGGGTGGGGGGTGGCGGGAAGGCAGGGCGCCAGCAAGTTCTCTGTGGACCAGGAAACCGCGCGGTGGCTGCTTCCAGCTAAGTGCCTGACGTGGACCAGGGACGATGGGGCGACAGGCGGTCAGCGCCCCAGGCGACCAGGAAGTTCAAGTTACAGGACTTGGGGGAGTTCTGACAGTCACCACCGACTGATTGGTTCTGGGTCACAGGTCATCGGAGACTGGGCTTAGAGGAAGGGAGCCAGGAAGCGGGCTTCTGGGGGTGCCTGCAAGTGGGACAAGAGATGGGAGGCTTTCTCAGGGCAGCCATGGGGCCCAGGGCAGGGCGGGACTGTGCTGATCCGGCCCCTTCACCAGGCTGCCCACCCACCAGGCCATGTCACCCTCACCAGGCCACACACCCTCTTACCGGGCCATGCACCCCTCACCAGGCCATGTACCCCCTCACCAGGCTGCCCGCCCACCAGGCCGTATCACCCTCACCAGGCCATACATCACCTCACCAGGATGCCCCCCTTCACCAAGACGCTGCCCCTTGGCCACCCCGGCACACGGGAGGCAACCTCCGCCAGTGTGTGACGGTGCTCCACACCCCTCAGGGCCTCCAAGAAGAAATCCTCTTTGAGAGGAGGCACTGTCACCGAGGACCCCCCCAAAGGGTCCTGGACACAAGCGTGTGCACACACACACACACACACACACATGCACGCACGCATGCACGCACACACACAGGGCCAAGGTCCGTGAGTTCAGGGAGGGCTGCCGACAACTGTCCCCTCAGGAAGGCCCCGTGAACAAAAGCCTTCAGTCAGGAGCGCTCAGCCGTCCACCTCCCTAACAGTTTTCCTGAGATGTCGTCCATATGCCAGACAATTTGCCCCTCACAGTCCACAGTTAATGGCGTCCTATCAGAGCCATGCGGCCGTTAGATCAGCCCATTGCTGCCCATCTTCCATCCCCCCCAAGGAAGCCTAGTGCCCTTGGCAACACCCACCAGCCCCGGCCCCAGCCCCTGGCACCTACCCATCTGCCTTCTGTCCTACAGAGCTGCCTGCTCTGGACATTTCACAGTGGGAACCATTGGCCACGTGGCCTTTGCACCTGACTTCCTCCACTCAGCATGATGTTCCCAAGGTCCCTCTGGGTGGCCCGTAAGTCACACCCTGTTATGGCTGAGCAATACTCCACTGTGTGGAGAGACCCCACTTTATGCATATTTTTTTGTGTGGAGTTTGCTTTGAGACCAGTGCTGTGTTTCATCGGTCCATCTCCCTGGCTGGCTCTGCAGTGAGGGTGCTGTCCTGCGTTGCAGATCTTGGGTGCTTCCAGAAGGGGCCAGGGAGATGGTGTGCTGCCCAGAAGTCCTCAGAAGCTGCTATGTCTGGGAATCAGTGGAAGACTGCACACAGGCCGGCACTAGCAACATCTCCGTCATGTAGGAACTCTGTCGCCAATAAAGTTACAAAGCAGACAGAGCCACTGTCCCCATCCCTCCTCATGTAGATGGGGAGGTGCAGAGGGCCTCTCTCGCCTGATGGCGCTGGAGGGCAGGGCTGCCTCCCCTCTGTGGACCCCTGGTGGCTCCCCTTGTAAGTTCGGAAGGGCATCCCCTGGGGCACAGTCGCCTGGCTGTCTCCTCTCTAAGAATGTCCTGGGTGCGGAAGACAACCCCGTGATCTTGATGGACCCAGACTCATTTCCATTTCACGGCGAGCCTCTCCTGACACTGACCTTTGCCTTCTTTCTTTAGCCCCCAGGGACATCACAGACACCAAAGGTACTCCCATACCCCAGCGCCACCCAGATGCCATGGTGACAGGGCAGAGGCTCAGTGTCACCGAGTCCCCAGACACAGTGCACACTCCACAAGCCCCATGGTCCCCAGCATGGGGGGCAAGACCCTGGTCCCAGTGCGGACACGTTTGGTCCCTTATCACTTGTGCCTTCAAAGCAGCCATATTTGGGAACCAGATATTTTTCATAAATAAATGGGGTCAGAGCTGATAAAAATCAATACATCTGAAACAACGTGCCGTGCCTGGTAGGGCACTCCAGCGGATATCTTGTGGCCTGGCGGGTCCCTTTGAAATGTTCACAACAACAGAAAGGTTTGTTTTTCCATCCAAAGCAAATGGAAATACTCGCAGGAGGGCAAAAATAAATATTGCCAGGGGCCGGAGCGTTCAGACAGCCCAAGTGAACTCTGGGGACCCAGGAGATTCACAACTCTGCTGTGGCCGTGGGCGGGAAGCGGCCCCACGGAGCAGGGAGAGAGACAGGAGGCCATCTGGGGGCTGAAAGGTCTGTAAGCAAGAAGTCGGCGTAAGAAGGGGGTTACTGGAGCCAGGTGAACCGGGTGCCACAGTTGGTCTGACAGCTTCCCTCTCAGAGCCTCAGTTTACCTGTCAGCCAAATGGGTAATAGCGCTACCTTACAGGAGTGTTGAGAGGATAAAATGAGGTGCCAGTTCTCCACGTTATCAATATTACCATTTCAGAAACTAGTCAGCTGTAGTTCCTCCTTAAATAGCTCATTTTCCATCTGGACCACAGAGTCCAGCTCCAGCCCATGTCATGTGTCTTCTTTCATGTCATTCTCAGAGCCAGGAAGTGATAACTGGGGTGTGGTTATTTCTTACAACTGCATCTGGACCTACAATTATCCCAAAGCAAGAAGGTATTTAATAAAAGTGACCTGAAGGTCCCCAAAACTTGACTGATTTAAATCAATATAAAGAAGACAGGGTCACCAGGTGGGAGACGGCAGCATCTTGGGCAAACATGGCTGCAGGAGAGATGGAAACACGTGGTGGTCCCAGACCCGATCCCCTCGGTGAAGTATCCTGCTGGCTCCCAGCCGCCTAGACCGCCTTATTCTCCTGCCAAAGGGCATGGATGTTGAAAGCAGAGCCTCTGCACCTCGGCTGGACCACTAGGGGATGAACACTTAAAGCCTTGGGTGGGGCCCCAGCACTGGCATTTTCTTAAAACCTCCCCAAATGGTGCCAATGGGTACAGCCAGGGGTTGGGAAAAGCCCATCTCCGGCCAAGCCCCATCCTTAAGGGCTGGAAAAGGGATGCTTCCCTCAAACCAGAGGAATTGAAGGGCCCAGGGAAGTTGTCAGTAGCTGCACAAATGTGGTGAGAGTTTGGTGGGGGCGTTTCTGGAAATTATTTTTATTCTGCCTGTTTTCCCATCATTTTCTCAAGGCAAACACAAATACCGACATCCCGAAAGTGAAGGGTGTGGGCACCATCAGCGTGAAGTCATGCCCCGAAGCCAAGCTAGACGCCCGAAGCCTGCCCGTGGGCGAGGGGCTATGTCCAACAACATTGAAAGCTGTTTTTATAATGTGACTCTAAGTGGATAACGTAAGGCTACGGCAAGCCCAGAGAATGAATACATTTCTGTTTGCAGTTTGAAAATCAATAGCAGACATGGAGAGCCTGTGAACATATGTGCACAAGACAATTTGTGTCACTGAAGTGAGGCTCAGTGGCCGCCTGGGGACAAGGGACAGACCCCAGCCTCCTCGGGCAAGCACCAGCTTCAGGCATCCAGGACTGGCCTCCCCACCAACTCTAATAGCCACTTGCATGTGTGCAAACGTTGCCCCTGGGTTCTACAGCTCTTTCCAAATCTGGACCTGGGTATGGGGTTCAGCTCCACGGAGAGCTGAATTCCCGTGCACGGAGGTCTGCACCCACCTGGAGGCTGTAAGCCTCCTCACCTGGCCTCCACAGGCCCCCACAAGCGTCCCAAAGAGACACCTCATCACCCGTGTGCCCTCCTTGTAGGGAAAGGGTGTCCTCCAACCCCAGCATGAAGGGAGTCAAGCCCTGGCTCTGAAGGCCCCAGAACCTCTTGCCTGAACTGTTAGAAGACTCTGTCTCTTCAAGCCACGGGGTCCTGCCCCCAGGTCCACCTCTGGCTTTTAGTGGCCCCGTGAGTCCACCTGAGTTGAGTGCAGAATCCCACACGGGAGGTCGTTTGCCCTCCACAAGCATCTGTCAGTGTCACCGGATTCTCACAGGATCCCCCACCCAAGGCTTGAGACTCCCTGACTCCCCTGGGCTGCCCACCGCTGCACGCCCTCCATGTGCCAGGGATCCCTCTTCTTGGGCTTCAAAATGTATATTTTTTCATAATACAAAAGTGCTGTGTTCTCCTTACAGAAAGAGGATAAAATTCCGGTCACACCCTGACCTCTGGATCGCAGTCCTCAGAAGCTAAACCGCAAGTGTGAGGGTGTCTGTTGCCTTCCACCCGTAACACCTCATAGCCCCCAGCCCCCTGGGAGCATCTGCAGATTCCCGTGCTGCCTGGGGGTCACCAGGGCCCCTGTGTCCTGCCACACAAGACACCTAAGAGTTGTTCCATAAACATCTGCATGATGAATAATGGGGGTTTCCAAACTGTCCGTCTACGGGCAAGACCTCTTATCCATGGACAGAAAACTGGACCCCAGAGGACAAACTGGACCATTAATCCATTCTCACTCTGCAGCCATCCATCCAAATAATAATAATGCTAATATTTCCTGAGTACTGGCCTGGTTGGGTTCCCCCAAGGCACTCGTTGGGACAGGGGAGACAAGGATTTGGTGCAGGTGAGCTGTTTTGGAGGTGAATTCAGGAAGCCCATGGAGGGGGGTCAGCATTGGTGATAAGGGTGCTGCAGGAAGAACAGGTGGCCTGTGGGGACCTCAGGGGGCCACATGGAGGACACGCCAGAATTCTCTTCCTGAGGTGGGCTTCCGCCCACCTTCTCCT